CGCCGCATGGGTTTTGCAAACGAAACTGCGGGTGGACGGGTGGGTGGGATGATTGAGCGAGCAGCGCAGTTGACAACTTCAAGTTCGGAATGGTGAGTTGCACCATGAAAATTGCACCACGTAGCTTGCGCATATACAACACAGCAATCGCACCGTGTACACATACATATATATATATATAGATTGCATCACATCGATTGCGCAACGTAGATCGCACAACATATCGAATAGCCTTCGGCCACACCGTGCCTAGGTTGCGGGTCAGAGTTCTCAGGGGTGATTCGTGGGGTCTCTTCGGAGTTGGGGCCTCTTTGCGAGCCAGTGGGGGGCCCCTTGAGGGCCTCTTCGGGCCTCTTGGGGGCGTCTTGGGTCCTGCTGAGGGCCTCTTGGGAGCTTCTTGGGACCTCCCGGGGGCCCATCAGGGCCCCTCGCGGCCGAAGGCTCGGGTCCCCATTTGGGCCCCCTTTGGGAGCCGTTTTCGGTGCCTCTTGGACCGTTTTGGGTCCTCTGGGGCCGTTTGGTGCTTTATTGGAGGCCTCTTGGGCCGTCTTGGAGCGATTTTTGGTGCCCTTCGGGCTCTTTGGGGATGTCGGAGAGCCGAAGAGGCGAGAATGCTACAATTTTCAACAACAAAAGGAAAATCAATAATGTTGGCCTCGTGGGGCCCTCTTGGGAGGCCTCGCGGGGGCTTCTTAGGGCGTCTCGGAGGCCTCTTGGACCGTCTGGGGGCCATCTTGTGCATCCTGGAGTGATCGTTCGGCGATTCGGGGCTCTCTTTTTGGACCGTTTGGAGAGCCGCATTGGCCCATCATAGGGCATTCTTGGGCCCGAAACGCTCACGCGACAAGACGCAGGAAGGCCCAGGAGATTTGTGATGTTGGGTCCCGGCCCATTAAAACTCATCATGGATGCTTAACGAAAAAGGAAAAGACCTGAAGACGCATCAATTTCGTGCCAAGCGGCACGTTGGCTGATATTTCCGAACACACGATGCACCGCATACTTTGCACAGCCTCTCTCGCACAGCCGATATGGCACAACATAGACTGCACAACAAGGATCGCACCACATAGAGTGTACCACATATAGCGAACCGAATATACACTAAACCACACAGATTGCACCCCATGTGTTGCCCCACATAGTTTGCACAACGCAAATTGCTCGAAACTCGGCGTTTGGGCTCGACGCTAGCTAACATCCAGAGTAAATAAGGGATTGGTATTAAAAGAAGGAGGACGAGGAGAAAGAGGAGGAAACATAGGAAGAGAAGGAGGAGCAGCAGCAGGAAGGACGAGAGCGGTGCTACGTGCTGCAGCGGGGGGACGTCGTGCGCGAAGGGCCAAAGGCGGAGGGACGAGAGGCGGGACAGACGAGGGGTAGGGACAAGCTAGGTGCGCCCGCGCCAGATCTGACATCATACCTCTCCGACCCATCCGCTCCCATGGCGCTGATTGTTGCTCTGTCCGCTGGTGCGTGTTATCGCGGACCAGGGCTTCCAAAAAGGACCCTCTCGTGTCATGCGCAACCAGATCAAGGGAATCGTGTACATTGCACGAGGAGGAGGAGGAGGAGGAGGAGGAGGAGGAGGAGGAGGAGGAGGAGGAGGAGGAGGCGGCAGATGGGAGGGAAAGGAAGAGGAGGAGTAAGGATGAGGGCGAGGAGGGCCAGCAGTAGCAGGAGCTGGAGCAGGAGGACAACGGGAAGGCGGAGCAGGGGAAGGACGGGGGCGTCAACGACGAGGAAGGACTCTGATCCAGAAAAAGTGGCCCGCGCGGGGGCGAGAGGAGCGCCAGTCTGAACGACGGGAGCAAAGCGCCGATCCTAAAGTGAGGGCCGCGCTGCAGCGGCAGCACCACTTTGAAGGGCCGAGGGCGACTGGACTGTAAGCCAAGAGGGGGGTCTCAACTGATAAAGTCTTGTGCGTAGACAGCCTTACGCGAAGGGGAGGGGGGGGAAGAGGGAAAAGAGGGGAGGAGGAGGAGGAGGAGGAGGAGGAGGAGGATTACCAAGCGCGCTATAGGCTTAAAGGGTACCTAAACCCATCTTTAAGGATGAGGCGGCCACATCCTCAAAGTTGGAGGTACTGCCGAAAACCATCGGCCACCTGCTGAAACCAAGGCTGCCAAACCCCACTTATAGCTTTCGGCCGTACCTCGGGATAGGGTGCCTATCCGTCAGGAATAGTTGCTCGAATTTCCACCCCTCATTCCCGGACTCGGAAGATCCGAAATACAACAATTACGTATGCTTCCGAACGGCCCACGGACACAGCGGACACACCAATGTCCATATCTTCGTTCGTCCTCTAAATGTGTGCCGACCAAGCAAACCAGCTGATCAGAGCTAAAGTCAATTGGCTTGCGCGAAACAGGGCCGACCACCTCCGTCCGCAGTGTGGTGGCTTCAGCTCCGTTCATCCCGTCCCTCACCACGTGCGCCAGCTCCCACCCTTCCCATATCGCTTGGCGAAGCGTGAGCACAGGCAGCAGAGTATCATAAAACATAGGGTCAGCCTCCCTATCGCACGGGAGGAAGAAGATTCTAGACTTTCCCGAGGTCGTATCTGCGAGCGAAGAAACAATGTCAGCAAGCGCAGACTCCAAATAGATCAGAAGATTGAAATGACTTGGATAGGAGTGGATTGAAGTAGACCAGACTCGAGTAGACTGGACTGGATTGTGGTGGATGATATTCCACTGCACTCCTCCACTCTACTATACCCGACTCTATTATACCATCTGCCCTATTCTGCTCTGCTCTGCTCTTCTCGACCCTACTCCTACCCTGCCCTACCCTACCATAGTATACTCAATTCCTACTCCACTCTACTTTAACATAGCCTCTTATAATGTAGTCTACTCTGCTCGACTCTACTCTATCGTACACACTACTGTACTCAGCTCTTCTCTACTTTACTATACCCAATCCTGTCTCCACCTACTCTACTCTACTCTACTCTACCCTTACTCCGACCCTACTCCTACTCTACTCCTATTATCTACTCTACTCTGCTGTACTCGATCATGTTCTACTCTACTGGACTCTGTTCTGTTCTACTGTGCACATAGACTATTCTCTACTCCGATCTACTCTACTCTACTCTACTCTACTCTTCTTTCGATGTCGGCGATTGTTGGGCGATTGTTGGGACACCCTTGGAACAGCCACAGGAAGCAATCGAAATACCATAGGAAACTATGCGGATACAGAGGAAGCCAAGTGGACAGCAGAGGAAACCATGCAGATGCATAGGCAGCTATGCGGATAGCAGAGGACGCCATGCGGATACAGAGGCATCCACGCGGATAGGTTTGACGATTGTTCCGCGATGTCTGGGGCGCCGTTGAAATAGCCACATGGTGCCATTGCAATAGCAGAGGAAGCCATGCGGGTAGCAGAGGAAGCCCTACCTACTATACAGAGAGACATGTGGATAGCAGAGGAAACCGTGCGTATACAGAGGAAGCCATGCGGATAGGTTGACGATCGCAAGCGCAAAGTAGGGCGGACCAGTGGTCCAGGTTTCGATGCACCAAGTTGGGACTCGCATAAACAAGCCAATTTCAAGAGCATGTGCCACGTGAGGTCTCTGGGGGGGCGGCCCCGGAGGATCACTGAGTTTCGGCGTGTTAGTCCCCGAGTGGTGGCGGCGTGACCTCGGTGACACACGTTACGCAAGTTTGCTGCATGACATGATGTACGTAGCTGTCTTGGTCCTCCTCTTCCCATCCTCCACAGCCCGACTCGGGTGCGGCGGCCTTGCTCTTGTCATGACTCGGCACAGGTTGCACCAGCACAGTGCGGGCAGGCTTGGCTTCAATCCGAGGGGGTTGTCGGTCACGTGGTGTGTCGTGCTGTCTCAAAGCGGCAGGGGGTGCGTCGTGTTCCGAGGGGTGCACGGCCGCCAGGCGGGTGCTGGCGGGCCCCAGTCCGTGCAGCCATCAGGGGTCTTGACCCTTGCCCGCGGTTGTCCATGGTCACGCGCTTCCTGAGGCCGTGGCTGTGCATGCGTGTTCGGGGTCGTTATGCGGCGCAGCTCATGGTCGCACAGCTCTGATTGAGACTGCGGTCATGCAGGGCGCCCATGGTGGCCATGCACCGCCGCCTTCATCGTCACTGTGATCTGAGTGGGCCGGCTTGCGGCTCAACACTTGCGACACAACGCACCACAGCTTGGCGACGAGAAACGCCTAACAATGTGTCTGACCGTCGCCAGGTTAAACGTCTACCCCCCCCGTTACACGCATCCCATATGTCGGGTGGGCCTCCAAGCCCGCACGGGCCACTCTGGTTGCCAAACGCTCCGGTGCCCCACAACGCATCGGCCCCGCACGACGAAGGGTTCCCACAGTCTGCCCAAGACCCCGCCCACAGGCAGAGTCGGTCCCCGGGTCCCCTTCATGCTCGACAGCCTTCGCACCGACGCGCTTCCTGAGTCTACGGGCAGCCTCATCCCTCGTTCGCCGTTCGCCGCACGATACCCGAGACTTCATCCACGTACACGCCAAGGTCGACGACGCGATAGCCTCCTGCTGCTCCTCCGTCGCCTGAGCGAATTCACGGGTGGCACGTGTCACAGACAGGTAGACATGCAGGCAGGCAGGCAGGCAGGCAGGCAGACAGGGTGGAGAGGCGGAGGGGGAAAGGGGGAGAGGGAGGAGGAGGAATAGGGACAGGGCGAGGGAGGAAGAGGAGAAGGGGGAGGAAGAGGAGGAGGAGGAGGAGAAGGAGGAGGAAGAGCAGGAGGAGCAGGAGGAGGAGGAGGAGGGAGGAGGGAGGAGGAGGAGGAGGAGGAGACTTGAAGGAAAGGGAGGAGGAGCAGCAGGCAGCAGGAGAAGCGCATCCAGCCCCCCCCCCGCCGGCCGCAGGAGCTGGTGACGATCAGGGGCGCGGTCGGGAAGAGCAGCCGCAGAGACTTGATCGAGATGATATTCTCGCACCTCGACAGCGACAACGCGGGCAGCCTCAGTGCGGACGAGATGTACGACTTTGTGGTGATGGCGGGCGCCCGCGAGAGCAAGGAGAGTTTCCTCCCGAGCTACGCGGGCGCGTGCCAGAGGTGCTCTCCTCCTCCTGCTCCTCCTCCTCCTCCTCCTCCTCCTCCTCCTCCTCCTGTTCCTGTTCCTGTTCCTGTTCCTGTTCCTCCTCCTCCAGCCGCTTCAGCGGTCAAAACCATCTCACCCACACGCGGCTGCTGTATACGTCAGGGGTACACCATACGGTTCGCAGCGGAATGCTAGTGTCTCGTTTCTGGGGCTCTGTCCGCCCATGATGAGAGGAGGGGCTGGGCCGCGACGGCCGCCAGGACGGTGGCTCCTCGCCGTGGCCATCCTGGCGCTCTACACTTTCGACGTGATGGCATCGCGCGGCCCGCCCTCTCCTCCACCTCAGCGCTTCCGCATGCTCACACACCTACAACCCGATATCCTTGACAGGGCCGACGAGGACTCGCGAGATGTCACACGAATTCGTAAACATGATCGCATTCCTACTTCAATGGACAGGCCGACAACAACCGTCCGAGTCGAACCACAGCTTTCTGCACTGGTCCCACTGGGAGCTTTCCATCGGCTGGACCCGAGCTTCCAACAAGAGCGGTGGCATGAGTATTTGTCTACATCATAAGCGACTACCTCGTAATTTCTTTCGGCGTATCTGTACACCCCCAGCGCGATTCGCAGGACGGTGCAGGGCAGTGCGACTGAAATCGAGCACATCGGACCTCCTTCTCATCGTACTCTACTTTCCTGTGCAATAGTCATGCCGCTCTCCGAGGGCGAGCTGCAGGACCACAGTGCAGGCCATGATCGCCTGGACCCGTTCACTGGTGGAGGGCGTCGGGGCAAAATGCACCCCCATCATCGGCACAGACTTCAACGACAAACTTGGCTTGTCGGACGATGACATTTACGAGGGCGAGCTCACGATTGGCATCGACCCGAACACGGAGGAAACCGACCTGGTCATCGGCACGATCGCAGCGGAGGAGGAGGGGTTCGCGGGAAGATTGTGGCACCAGTGTTTCAGAGATTTGCGTATGGCAGCAGACAGTACCTTTTACGCCGCAGGCGACACTTATGGGGGGGCAGGCAGCTACAGTTCACGCACCGATTTTACCCATGTGCCTCAAGGTCTGCTTCCACACATCTTCAACTGCAAGACGCCCCCAGGGGCCGGCCATAGGCTGCAGGCTATCAACAGTCTGGACATTCGCGACCACAGACCGCTGTATCTTGATTTCTTCTACACCTTCGAGGCTACAGCGCACCGACGACACACGCGGGACTACGACCGCACCATGGGCATGCTTCGCGGCGAGGAGCTTGGTCAGAACGCAGTGGAGGTGTTCCACCAATCTACCTTGGACATCGAGGAAGAAAATTGGATCCGACTATGCAGTCGTCCAACTACGGACGCATTGTGGAACACTGTGCAGTCGCAGATTACCCAGGCCGCTCAGCAGGAATTTGACTCACGATTTGGAGAAGCAGGAATCTACCTCGGAGGCCGAGCGGTCCCGCGTTTTGGATAAACATCGCGAGATCAGGAACACAGTGGCCGTGGCAGACTTCCTGCGCGGCGGAGCCGACCACCCTAAGCGAGAGGACATCGAGCTTAGCATGGCGCGCACCACCTGTCGGATTCGGCAAGTTTCACGAGAGCTCACCAAGGAACGCAATGCCTCCATCACGGCTGCCCTGGACGACGCATGGGCCCGACATGACCACGCCACTGTTCAGCGCATGGAGAGGCGACTGGCCCGAAAGGGCCGAGGCCCTCGCAACAGACGGTACGTCGTGGTGCGGGAGGAAGACTGCGAGGCGACCGAGACCAAGGAATACTTGACGAGACCAGCGATGGAGGGTGGCTTGGGAGCACACGAGTGCGACCTGAAACCGGAGATGGCTTCACGCTTCGACCAGCTGCACGAGGGCGGCGAGACGCACAGCGCCGACCAGCAGAGATGCGACGCGATGCAGATCGCGGACATCGGCCAAGCGCCCGAAGACCTTCTTGGCATCATTACTCAGCTTCGTCGATCTCCCATCAGAGATATGGTTGATTCTACTCGTTGAAGATCACCAGGCCGAATTTACTCGAGGAGGCTTGAGCGATGATTCCAGGCAGGCCACGTCGCGGGGCTTCAACGAGCGCCTCCAAGATGTACTGGCCTTCCTCCGACGCACTACTACGACTCCGCTGCTGTTCGACACCCCCCCCCGCGCGGGCCTCGACAAACGCGCGGAGAAGACAGGCCCTGCAGGGCAACGCTGGATGCGCTTCTTCTGCCCGATCGGCAAGGCCTGCAACGCCTACCTCTGGCATCGAGGGCGCAAACATCGGCTTCGTCTTCCTCGTTGCTGACGTGGGTTCGCCGGGCATCGGCGTCGCGAGGGCGACGTCGCGGCGCGCGGCTGCGTTCCCTGGTGCCTTCAGCGCCGGGGCCTTAACGGAGATGCGACCAGCGCGTTCGCCACTGTAAAAACCGCGACGATCCTAGACACCCTCGAGGACCTGCACGATCCATGGGGACTTCAGATCCCAGCATGCCAGGACCATCCACGGGGCCTTCCAGATTGAAACCCAGTCGGGACCAATCGCTCTACGACCCGCGACGGGGGGGACGATGGGGCATCCAAATCCAGTTCGGGCCTCCCCGCGCGATTGCAAGAAGGGGGTATGAGCCATTCCTGACCTATCGGAACCGAACCAGCTCAGCCAAGTATGCCACGGCACACGAGCCCGACGATACGACGGCAGACGCATGCATCATGGCTTACGCCGACGATATCACGAAGTGCGTCATCCCAGGCTTTGGGCCCCCAACTCTCCCAAGAGGAGGAGAAGCATCCCACCTACTCTCGCTCGCTCCATCTAGCAGCAGGAAACTATTCACTCGCTTGGGGGAGGTGGGAGTACGACTGGATGGCGATAAACGAGCTACTCTTGCAAAACTCTTCGGGGGGGGCAGCGTTGGGCAGCGCCGACTTCTCCACGGGGGCTCCCTTCAGTGCCCAGGCCAGCGCGGCCGCTGCCTGAGGATCCTGGTTGGATGGCTAGCAACGTCGGGCTCTTTACAGGTAGAACGAGCCAAGCGACTACATGCGGGCAGGTCGGGTTTCGGCTTCATTTCTTTCCTCTTGGTCTACGACGCGAACGCCAGCATCGAGCGCATGTCCATCGTCGCTTTCGCACAGTCTGCTCTGCTCTCAGGCATGGAAGGACGCGCGCCCGATGCCGCCTGCTCCTCGGCCTCGGACCAGATTATTCCACGGGCACTTCGCAGGGGGCTAGGTATCCGAGGTCTCGCTGAGCACGATAGCGGGGAGCTACGTCGTCGGTGGGCACATCGGCTCTTATGTTTTCTGGCGCATCCTTCCGACCGCGCGAGAAATCCAGGTTAGACGATTGAAATGGTACCAGAGTTGGGCTCGATTCCCGATTTGTCCTCGTCAAGTGAGAGCAGCAATTCTAGGCGGGACGGGGGGCGACGACTCGATCGACGCGAACTGGCACCTCACCCCAACGCGAACCCCTGGGCCAAACAACTACACGCCGACCTTAGATTCGCGCACGAATCCTCGGAAGAATTTCAGGACCTCGTCCCGCCCGACTTTCCTTTGCTACGCCTCCTATATTGCGACGACTATTCGAAATGGGTGGACATCGATTTCAAGGTTATTTGCGCTAGCTCTTTCTGGACCTCGATCCGGCCCCCGACGGAGACGACTAGGCACGACGACGCCGAGGAGGAGATGGAGGGAGAGGTAGTGGGGGACGACGCCCCACGACCATGCGAATGCAAGATGAGGAACGAAGACGGTCGGGCCCGTGGGAAGCGTTTCGGCACTATGAGGAGTCCCCCTCTACATGCAGGGCGGGCCCATCGAGTTAGAAACGAGGCGTTCCTTCTCACGATTGTCAACCAGTGCTCCAGGTGCCTACAAACCCTCAGCTCTCGAGAAAACGCTCAGAGGCATGTCGTGCGTTCGCATCAGAGAAACGCCTGCCACCGCGGCCAGGGACGGGGTCGGCCGACGGGTCAACAGGAGCCAACGGTGCCGAGGGCGCGCCGGCTCACATGGAGGCGAAGCAGCTCGGGCCGATGGCCGAGGAGGCCGAGGACGCCCTTCAGTGGGCAGAAGGCGTGCTACGAGCCAAAGACGCGCAGGTAGCACTGGTGATCCTCTTCGAACTGTCATGCCAACACACTCAGCAGCTTCGGGATCTGGCGGCCTCGGAGCGGATCTCGATCACCATGCCCACCGACTCGGACGCGGCGAAATCATGGCGCGAGGCAGGGTGCCCATGCGCGGAGGCAGCGCAGACGGCAGCAATCAAGCCCAATCTCGGGCCACCTCATTTGCACATCTCGCGCGCCGTGTTCAAGTGCCTCTCGGATTCGGCTCAGGCCCAGACGGATCGCCCCCAGCGCCACATCGTTCGTGTCGGGGGCAGCCGTGCAGGAGCTCGGTCTCATGGTCCGTCACGCTCGTCTCATGAATTGATACAACGATCAGCGCGCGCGAGTTCAGTTCTCGATCGCTGACCAGCTTCGCGCACCAGCAACGGAGGGTCAGGAGGAGATCGCGCACAGCAAACTCGAGATAGATAACGCCATAATTCATCTGCCTGACTCCATGGGGGCAAGGCGAAGCGGGGGGTGGCCCCACAAGGGCACCTCGAAGCTCTACCACAGAAGCTGTTGGACAAGGCGAAACCCAAGCAGGAGGGCAAAGGAGGCGGCCGCAAGAAGTGAGTTGGGGGACCAGGCTGGCGGCACTTCAAGGGCGAATTCGGAGCAAAGAATCTCAACGTCCATCATCGGTATGATTTGGGAAGGTCAATTTTGTTCCATGGAGATGCCTGCTCTGGAAGGGGGGCACATCCGCGACCCGAACGATACCAAGACATGGGAGAAGGACAGCACACCGACGGACGATGACTCATCCTTGGCTCGGTTTGACGACAGCCCATGATGAAGCCATTACTCGTCGCAGTCTCGACTTTTTCACGATCCCTCTCGTGATCGACTTCTGCTTGAGCATCCCAGCTTCT